GCCCCCAAACCACAGTGTTGGAAAGGAAACTGAAGGTATGGTACACAAACGCTGATGGAATAACAAATAAGTGGGAGGATGGCACGAAAGAGTCAAAGAGGCATCACCGGACATCATAGCTCTCACAGAAACCAAGCTTACAGGTATGATAACAGATGCCATCTTTCCAATGGGATACCAGATCCTGAGGAAAGACAAAGGGAACAGGGGGATTGGAGGAGTGGCATTGCTGATCAAAAACCGATGGAATTTTGATGAGCTGGAGAGAGGAGACAGAGGAGAAGAAAGTGATTACATATCGAGAACGCTTCACTCTGGAGGTCCCAAGGTGGTAATAGCAGTAATGTATAACCCACCACAGAACAGCAGGAGGCCAAGGCAAGAGTACGACGAGCGCAATAGAGCGATGGTTGACACACTGGCTGCAGTGGCCAGAAGAGATCATGCATGCAGGGAAAAGCTCCTGATCATAGGTGACTTTAACCACAAGGAGATCGATTAGGAGAACTTGGAGCTGCACGGGGGCCAAGATACATGGAGGGCTAAGATGATGGAGGTGGCACTAGAAAACTTTATGTACCAACACGTAAGGGACACTACAAGAGAGAGAGGAGAGGATGAACCAGCAAGGCTGGACTTAGTATTCACCTTGAGTAGTGCAGATATCGAGGACATTACATATGAAAGAACTCTTGGGGCCAGCGATCATGTGGTTTTAAGCTTCGAATACACAGTAGAGCTACAAGTGGAGGGGGAAGCAGGAAGGCCAGGACGAATGAAGCCAAACTACAAGAAAGGGGACTACACGGGAATGAGGAGCTTCCTGAACGGGGATCAGTGGGACAGAGAACTGGCAGGGAAGCCAGTTAATGAGATGATGGAATATGTAGCAATAATATGCAAGGAGGCTGAGGAAAGGTTTGTACCCAAGGGTAACAGGAATAATGAAAAAGCCAGGATGAGCCCATGGTTCACCCAAAGGTGCAGTGAGGCAAAAACTAAGTGTGCTAGGAAATGGAAGAAATATAGAAGGCAAAGAACCCAGGAGAATAAGGAGAGCAGTCGTAGAGCCAGAAACAAATATGCACAGATAAGAAGGGAGGCCCAAAGATAATATGAAAACGACATAGCAGCGAAAGCCAAATCTGACCCGAAACTGTTATACAGCCATATCAGGAGGAAAGCAACAGTCAAGGACCAGGTAATCAAGCTAAGGAAGGAAGGAGGAGAGACAACAAGAAATGACCGTGAAGTATGTGAGGAACTCAACAAGAGATTCAAAGAAGTGTTCACAGAGGAGACAGAAGGGGCTCCAGAAAGACGGAGAGGTGGGACACACCACCAAGTGCTGGACACAGTGCACACAACCGAGGAAGAAGTGAAGAGGCTTCTGAGTGAGCTAGATACCTCAAAGGCAATGGGGCCAGATAACATCTCTCCATGGGTCCTGAGAGAGGGAGCAGAGGCACTATATGTGCCCCTAACAACAATATTCAATACATCTATCGAAACAGGGAGATTTCCTGAGGCATGGAAGACAGCAAATGTAGTCCCAGTCTTTAAAAAAGGAGACAGACATGAAACACTAAACTACAGACCAGTGTCACTGACATGTATAGTATGCAAAATCATGGAGAAGATTATCAGGAGAAGAGTGGTGGAACACCTAGAAAGAAATGATCTCATCAACAGCAGCCAACATGGTTTCAGGGACGGGAAATCCTGTGTCACAAACCTACTGGAGTTCTATGACATGGTGACAGCAGTAAGACAAGAGAGAGAGGGGTGGGTGGATTACATATTCTTGGACTGCAAGAAGGCGTTTGACACAGTTCCACACAAGAGATTGGTGCAAAAACTGGAGGACCAAGCAGGGATAACAGGGAAGGCACTACAATGGAACAGGGAATACTTGCCAGGAAGACAGCAGCGAGTCATGGTACGTGGCGAGGTGTCAGAGTGGGCACCTGTGACCAGCGGGGTTCCACAGGGGTCAGTCCTAGGACCAGTGCTGTTTCTGGTATTTGTGAACGACATGACGGAAGGAATAGACTCTGAGGTCTCCCTGTTTGTACATGACGTGAAGTTGATGAGAAGAATTCACTCGATCGAAGACCATGCAGAACTACAAAGGGATCTGGACAGGCTGCAGACCTGGTCCAGCAATTGGCTCCTGGAGTTCAATCCCACCAAGTGCAAAGTCATGAAGATTGGGGAAGGGCAAAGAAGACCGCAGACGGAGTACAGTCTAGGGGGCCAGATACTACAAACCTCACTCAAGGAAAAAGACCTTGGGGTGAGTATAACACCAGGCACATCTCCTGAAGAGCACATCAACCAAATAACGGCTGAAGCATATGGGCGCCTAGCAAACCTCAGAACAGCATTCCGACATCTTAATAAGGAATCGTTCAGGACCCTGTACACCGTGTACGTTAGGCCCATTTTGGAGTATGCGGCACCAGTTTGGAATCCACACCTAGCCAAGCACGTAAAGAAACTAGAGAAAGTGCAAAGGTTTGCAACAAGACTAGTCCCAGAGCTAAGAGGTATGTCCGTATGTCCTACGAGGAGAGGTTAAGGGAAATCAACTTGGCGACACTGGAGGACAGGAGAGATAGGGGGGACATGATAACGACATACAAAATACTGAGAGGAATTGACAAGGTGGACAAAGACAGGATGTTCCAGAGATTGGACACAGTAACAAGGGGACATAGTTGGAAGTTGAAGACACAGATGAATCACAGGGATGTTAGGAAGTATTTCTTCAGCCACAGAGTAGTCAGTAAGTGGAATAGTTTGGGAAGCGATGTAGTGGAGGCAGGATCCATACATAGCTTTAAGCAGAGGTATGATAAAGCTCATGGTTCAGGGAGAGTGACCTAGTAGCGATCAGTGAAGAGGCGGGGCCAGGAGCTCGGACTCGACCCCTGCAACCTCAACTAGGTGAGTGCACACACAAACATTGTGTATATGTACACACTCAGTAGCTACTTTAATAGGTTCACCTGTATATCTAAATATATCTAATCAGCCAATCACGTGGCGGCACCTCAGTGCCTAAAAACATGCAGATATCGTCAATAGATTAACTTTTTTTCAGTCCAAATATCAGAATTAGGAAGAAATGTGATCTAAGTGACTGACTGTGGAATGACTGTTGGTGCCAGACAGACGAGGTGGTCTGAGTATTTCAGAAACTGCTAATCTTCAGGGGCTTTCCCTGCACAACAATCTCTAGAGTTTACAGAGAATGGTATGAAAAACACAAAACATTGAGTGAGCGGAAGTTCTGTGGACGAGAAACTCGCCTTGTTGATGAGAAAGGTCAGAGCAGAATGGCCAGACTGGTTCAAGCTGACAGTTAATGATTGAAAAAACGCCGCTTGGTTTGGCGAATCGTTATTTCTGCTGCAACATGCAGATGGTAGGGTCAGAATTTAGCGTAAAACTTTGTGATCTGGTGGGACGGGAGAGTCGCACCACGAATGTGCAGCCGATATATCTGCAGTAACTGTGTGACGCTATCATGTTAATAAGGACCAGGATCTCTAAGGAATGTTTTCAGTACCTTGCTGAATCCATGACACGAAGAATTCAGGCTGTTCTGGGGACAAAGGGAGGGGAGAAAGGACTACGCAGGAGTAGAAGAATGTAGGATGTATCTAATGAAGTATATATTATATTATATATATATATATATATATATATATATATATATATTATATATATATATATATATACATTCCTGTAAGAATTTTAAGACATTCATTCTTCACTGTTCAAATTTTTCATTCCTTTGAATATTCCATGGCTAGTTAACCTTGAATTAATGACTGTCGATTGTTGGGAAGATGAAGACCTTCTGGAGTGAGGACTCGAAGTAAGGTGCTTGCCTTAGTTGTTCACCTTCCTCTGTCCTCAACTTTACTGTGTTAACATTGTAGTGGGTTCGTCGCAACACGCTCTCTATGGGCTCCTTGCAACCGTACTCTCTCAGCTGGTCGACCAAAGTGTCCACAAACAAGGATCCTGCAAAAGATCAAAATTCCTTAGGGTGTTAATGGAAGTTGGGAAAGCGAGCAAAGTATGAATAATGCGTGAGCATGCGGGATATTCTTTAATAGGGTATTATAGCAATACCTTTGTCAGTCCTGGCAGCCTTCTCGTACCACTTGGTGGCGTAGGCGACGATTGTATCAGCGAAAGGATTGATATCATACACATCCTCATACTCTCCGTAGGTGTTTTGCCATATGGCACCGGTATCCTTATCCAGTACCGATCTGCTATCTGTCGCTGTCGCCTTATAGGTTTCTGCAATTTAGATAACCTTTTATCCTGAGGATTGTAAATGCTTTCGTGTGTTCGCTACTCTCTGGACCAATTGACTTACGGAATTGTGATGAAGCAGTTGCAGAATTGAATTATTCAATTATGAAACTTCATACTGTCATATATAATTATAAAAATTTCTAATACAGTACAAAAAAATGTTTCGCTATTAACTGATGAATTTTTTTTATATATACTCACCTGTAGCAGTGGGCATTACCACATCATCTCGTCTTCTGACGGCACAAGCTTGGATGAAGAAGATCTTAGGCTTCATAAACAACCAATCAATTTCTGTAATGGGTTGTATAAGATCCAAACGTCGATGGATTTTATCATTCTTTACCTGTAAGTATGTATTGTCACCGTGGCTCATGAACCACACAACCAGGCTGAAAAGTGGAACATCGTTCTGCGTTATAATTCAGGATCGCTCGAATGTCTGTGTGGCATCACAGAATTATCACGTGAAATGGTCGACCAATTGTGTATTTAAAAAAAATTATAAAAGAACTACATGAGTATCAAAACATTAGTGCAAGAGAAACGTCGTACTGGAGTCCAATATACTGAAATGAACGACAACTTAAATTTCAGTTAATAATAATAATATAAACGTCAACTGCATGTCAAGGTTTTCCTGTCACATCGTTCACAAGACTTCCTCACTCAGATTAAGATGAACCGAAATACAGTTACCTGTCGTAGAACTGATTTCTTGGTGTCTTCAGTTCGCTAATAACACTTTGTACTGTTTCTTTATCTGGGTTGTTCACCTCGAGCACATCGTATTTGAAAACATTCTCAAATAATTCTTTGACGTTCCTCCGGTCGTAGCAGGACCCTTCGCGCATCTCCTCCATATTAAATATGATGCAGAGGCCGGGAGGGTGAGAAGCCAAAGGATACCTGCTAACTTGGTCCAAGAGTCCGTCAATACGAGGGTCATCGTCGCGTTTCTTCTTCATTAACACAAAAATATTGTTGAGTGAGTGCGTATACAGCCGATTTAAAACCTTATTTGAAATTAGTATGATAACGAAGTAGAAAAAGGCAGTTTCTTTTAGTCCTGGTTTTTCCTTAAAATTAGCAGCATTTACTTGAAGATTCAGTAATTGCTCTCTAACAGGTTTGGAGACTTCTTGATCCTCCTGACACAGAAGCTCATACATGATGCAAACTTCCTTTTCCGTCAACGTATTACAAATATTCATGAGGACCTTGTTCTCTGAATATACAAAGTACTGTTTCCTCCATTTTTGTCCATCCTTCTCAGTGTCAGCAGGTATTTTCTTTGTGGTGATGATGTTTTCCGCGGCCGTTCTGATTTCCAATTGAACCGGATAGCCAAACTTAGTCATTACCTCGAGGAACTGAAGAATATTCATCTCATCTTCGCTCAGATCCTCTTGTTTACCTCCGAAGTTTGACGTGAGAGAGATGTTGGTGACTTTCTCTTCCTTCGTATTCCTGCACTTGTCAATTAGATGCATATTATATGTCTTGAACTGCTGTCGTATTCGGTGAAGGTTTCTGTCCTCCAGTGCTCTCTGAAAATATTAAGAAAAGGAAACAAACTCAGCTGCTTTTATGAGGAGGAAGAAAGTGTAGACTGCTCGCTGTCGATCCACTGGCTACCTCAGACCCGTAGGACGGCAGCTTACGGCTCCTGCAATTTTCCCATTCCCCAATCCAGTTCACGAGAGTTTAAAATTTATATAAGTGATTTCCTTTAACGACATGCAATGTTTAGTCTAAAATTAGCTTCAATAATAATCTATATTGGACGCTGTATTAATAAAATTTAATTTTAAAAACAATTAATGATTAACAAAGTAAACTAATATAGATTTTTAGTAACTGTGTTAAAAAATTTTTATATTTTCCAAAAATATTTGGGGTTTGATAGGGCAGTTTTATTTGTTCAAAAATGTTAGTATCAAATTTCATAATAAACAAAAAAGTTACAGTGCTTCCCTTGAAATCTTCGTTCCTTATAACACTGGGTCCAGATCCTGTTTGGCCCGTGCTTGCTATTCCAAAAACCTGTCAAGGGACAAAACTGTTGACTGATATCTGACACCCACGGGAAGTACATTGGGTTTTATAAATAAAGAAATTTCAATTAAAAGCAGTTATAGTAAACTGATCTCATGATGTAAAAAAGAACGTTTTTAGTACCTTGGTACTTGGTTTTTTTTTTTTTAAAGTGTGAAAGACTGCATTGTAAGTTAAAAATTTCTTCGCCGCTTCCCCCGAGGGATGGAATAATGTAAAAATGTTAACAATATGAAAAAGACACAAATGCGTGAAATGAAGACTTATTGACATTGTTTCACCCACCAGTGGGTTTTGTTTGTGACTTTTAAACCACTGTGGGGGCGAAAACGTTGACAAAAAAGAATCGATTACATTGCCTTGCGCCCCCAAAGGGAATGATCCCCTTCCTCTCACCTTTTTGTGACATGACTTCCCTTCCTCATCACCTCCTGTGTTAGATTTTCCCTTCCCACACTTTCTGTGTTATGCTCACCTTTCCTCATTTTTCTCTGTGATGACTCACCTTCCCTCCCCTCTCTGTTTTTATGATCACTTCCTCATCATCTTTGTGAGTCTTACCTTTTTTAAACCCCTCTCGTGTTATGACTCACCTTCCTCACACCTCTTTGTGAATGCTTCCTTTCCCTCATCACCTCCTGTAGATGATTCCCTTTTCCTCATCACCTCTCTGTGTTAGACTCACCTTCCCTCATCCCCTCTCTGGTTATGACTTCCCTTCCCTCTCCCCCTTTCTTGTTATGTTCCCTTTCCTATCACCTCTCTGTGAGATGATTACCTTCCCTTCACTCTGTTTTATGATCCCCTTTCCTCTCACCCTCTGTGAATGACTCCCTTTCCTCTCCCCTCTCTGTGTTATGAATCCCTTTCCTCATCGCCTCTCTGTTTTTGACCACTTCCTTCACCTCTCGTTTTATGACTTCCTTCCCTCAACCTCTCTGTGTTATGACTTCCTTCCCCACCTCTCTGTGAGATGACTTCCCTTTCCCATCCCCTTTCGTGTTATACTCCCTTCCTCATCACCTCTCGTAGATGACTCATTTTCCCATCACTCTTGTGAGATATCACTTCCTCACACCTCTCGTTTTTGAATCACCTTCCTATCGCTCTCTGTGAGATACTTCCTTTTCTCATCACCTCTCGTGATATCCCCATCTTTCATTTGGTTTACCGTCATCACACCGCCCAGGGTGATTTACCTTGGTATTACCTTCCTGTGGGAAATTTACCTTGTTTGGGGTTTATGCAGGGAAAAAGGATCTTGGGAGGTTTTCATCTTTGATTTTCCACAGCTGTTCCAAGGTAACCGGTGAAAGTGTCTGCCATCGCACGTGCAGCACAGTATTGTTATACTTGCTTTCACAAAGTCAGAGTTGCTTATTTATCTCTCAATCTTATTCAAAATTAATTCCTATATGTCAAGCGATTTTCAGCTCCACATGAATTTTATTTTGTCGCCAAAGTGTTTACTTTATTGTGCAACTGATGCCCCCCTGTAGACGGTAGAGATTTTTTTTTTTATGACGGGGCACCCCATACCATCCTGTGGTGATAGCTTTTGTTTGCCTATCTATATCTACCGGGGGGGTTTCGGGGTGTTCACCTTTTTTTGGAGCATTTCGGGGCAAATTAGGTAAATTTTTTGTCCCAGGATGCGACCCATACAGGACCTTTTTTAAATGATAGGGAACAGGGACAGGGACAAGGTGTTTTGGGGAAAACCGTCCTAATTTTTTCCCATCGTGAAGGATATTCGACCTCCGGCCTCAGTGTGGAGGTGAGTGCGTTATGATCGAGCTCGGGACACACCTACATCCCCCTTTAACGGGACCATCCGTTTGGGGTTTTTTTACTCCCTTTTCACTTTGTGGACCCCAAACGCAACAGTTTGTCCAGGGGGGCCCATAGTGAAGTTTTAGATAATAACTTTTTGATGTTGAATTGATCAAAAATCAGTAGCAAAAAGTTAAATTATGTTTCTGACGTCGGCTGTTACGCTAGATTATTATATATATTTTTTTATTGCAAAAAAAGCAAAATACTTAAAATCAAAAGATTAATTTTTTACGGAAGCAAATGCTTTTGCGTCATCAGCGCAAAGGTAATGGAAGCTCGATCCTCCGTCTGAAAAAAAAGGGTTCCCCGGTTTTAGCACACATTTAAAAAAAATCAGTTACAAAACTTTTGCTACTAAAAACCCTTTTAGTGTTTTTATAATTTAAATTTTAAAAAATGTGCCCGTTAAAAGAGGGGTGCCTTGAAGGGTTCTGTTTAAAGGAATGGGGTTTTACCTTCCTCTTCTGGGATCAAATTGGTTTTTTTTTTCCGTCCTTCCCCCCCTCCCCCGGCCTCCTTCCCCTTTGGGGGGTGAAGGTATACTTGTAGTTACAAGAGAAGTAAAGTTTCCATTTTTTGTTTTCAGATAAGCGGAATTTTCACTTTCTGGTTTCCAGACACGGTAAGATTCCCTTTGGGGAATTTTTTTTTTCCCCAGACGAGTGGGTGTTCATATTTCGGGCCGGGGGAATGTAAAACGCACCTTCTTGGTCTTGTCTACCCCTCACAAACCATGTTGCTTTATAATGCTGCTCCAGGTAAACTGTCTTATCAGTATATTCAAAAAAAATTGAGTGTTCCATGCGTGGAAGTGGTGAGGTTCGATGGGGGGAAGTGTGAGGTTTCCCCCAAAAAAACCTTTACTTCCAAGGTGAGACTGTCTATAATGTTTCGGTTGTCTTGAAGTTGACCTCCTGCTCAGCAGCGCTGTAGACGCTAACTTTTTTTATTTAAAATGTCCTGAAGTCCCCTGTCAGTTTCTTTCCACCGCATCACCGAGTAAAACTTTTTCCCAAACCCAGGAAAAAGGAAAGGCTTTCGCTTGCCCTTAGCGTTACCAAAGACATTTAAATGTATAATTGAAAGAAACAAAGTGAAAATTGTTAATTTTTGAAAAAACCATTGTCGTGTGGGAAAAAATTCTGGTTTAAACGAAATTAATAGTGTTCAAACACCCATGTAGCAGGAATTGTGGTTGGGGCCCATGCCAGGTAGGGCTAGGGCCCCAAGTACTTTGGTTGTTGGCTGATGATTAAGAAAATTGTAGTACGAATTATTTCAAAAGATTTAAGTCAAATTTTTTGGGTTTCCCTCGATGGTCACAAAAACATGAAAAATCGATGCTTTGCACCTAGAAAGGTGACAGCATGGACGATCACCTAAATCAAACTAAACGTCTTCCAACGTCTAAGTATTACTCTACGGAAAGCAAACCCCCACTGACGGCAAAAGGTCTCTTCAGTCAAAGAAACCCAAATATGTAGCGAAATTTTTTGGGAAATTTGGTACTAACTTTTTGTACATGTTTTACTTCCCAAACTGTCAGTTTTGTTAACATTCCCTATTCAAGCACAACAAAAATAATAAAGTGATTCATTTTCAAATTTCTGTCTTACAGATTTACTTTTTTTATTTTCCCCCCGCACGCGGCGGAAGATTCGGGAAATTTGCGTGGAGATTAGGTAAACCCGTTAGTGTTTCCTTGCTGAGGCACCGCCATCTGAGCTCCCAGTTCTTTGATGTCAAATTTTTTTGGTGAAATAGACTTTAAAGATTGGGGGGAGGGGGGGGATGGGTGATTAGACATTTTCCTTTTCCAAATGTTTTCCCTGACTTTTAAACTTGGGGCTAATACATTTTTCTCGTAAACACGGGAAAAGCTTTAGATGATAAGAGAATTTTATAAAGTTCATATTTTTTCTGAAATAATTGGTTATATCAGGTGTAGCGGATGGTAAAAAGTAACCTCGTTCTTGACCGAGTGTAACAAGTTTTGGGAGAAACCCAAATTTTCTTGAGGGTGACCGGATTGGAGGAAATCTTGATTCTTTTCAGTGCAGGTAAGTGGCGGAGTAACCCTGGGTTGTCATTCAGCCCGCTGTGATGTTGATTGATTTGTTTTTTTTAAAAAATAGAAGATATACTGTCCCAGTCGTTCTCTCACCTTCCAGGAATGCCTTTTTTTGGGTCGAATGATCAAGAGGGGTGCGATGAGTGGAGGAGTACGAGCCCCCACACCCCTGCGTTTGATGACCCACCCCATTTTTGATTTTATTATTATATAAAAAACCAAGCGCAAAACCCCCAAAAAACCTAACGTTTGTCCCCAGTTTTCCAAAATTTGATGCCCCCTTTCAACTGGGGGAGATTCAATTAAAAGGGCAAAAAACTGGGCAATGTTTCAAGAGGTAACTTCTGGTCGCGTGAAAAGTGCCCCCGTTTAAAATTTGATGCATTCGTTCGCTCCTTAGGGATGACCTGTCTACCGTGTTTTGCCCAAAGGTGACACCGCCAACGACTGCTTCACCTTATTGCGTGTTATGTATTTTTAAGACGGGTGGACTTTTTAAATCGATTCCAGGCTGAGGATTATTACCTCAAACTCATCCCTGACTGCAGCTTAACCCCTTTTATAGCACAGTATTGAGATCTTACCCAAAAATTATTTTAAATCCCCCGGGGGTTTTATTACCTGGCCCCTCAGCAATGAGGTGTTTACTCTCCCCGCGGGGCAAGGGCGCCCAGTGAAAATTACCATAAAACCCGACAGTTTTATGTAGTAGGTTTCCCCCGTATTGTCCGGCCCGGGTCTTTTCCAGATGGATAACAACGATGTTGCTTAATCTAAAAATTAATTTGGAGG